GTGGGAAGTGCGTTTGCGAGGCACCGTGCCACTGGGGAGCGCGAAACACGCTGGCGTAAATGTCCACGACAAGAGTGTCCTACAAGAGTGTCTCAAGAGTGTCCTGTAAGAGTGTCCCACAAGAGTGTCCCACAAGAGTGCCCCGCAAGAGTGTCCTACAAGAGTGTCCCACAAGAGTGTCCCACAAGAGTGTCCTACAAGAGTGTCCCACAAGAGTGTCCCGAAAGAGTTTTCCTACAAGAGTGCCCCGAAAGAGTGCCCCACAAGAGTGTCCCACAAGAGTGTCCCAGAAGAGCGTCCCGCAAGAGTGTCATACAAGAGTGCCCCTGTCCTACAAGAGTGTCCCGCAAGAGTGTCCCACAAGAGTGTCCTGTAAGAGTGTCCCACAAGAGTGAGTGACCCACAAAAGTTTCCTACAAGAGTGTCATGTGGACATTTGCTTTTGGCCGACAGTGACACCCCGCCGTGGTATGAAAGATTCCCGGCGGAGCAGAAGCTGCAAATTGGGGAGAGCGGGGGTGAAGGTCGAAGTGTGGCCACAAGAGCGGTCCGCAAGAGTCACGCAACGATTGGCCCTTTATTTTCGATCTTGTTTGCTTGCTCATGTGGCTGACGAACCTCGACGTTAGCGAGCTGGACCAGAAAAAACATGACGCGCGCAAGCACTTTTCGAACGCGTTTGCGTTCGGGTTCGTGGGCTCCATGTTGTTTTTTTGGCGATTGCCGACGGCATAAGCCTGTGACGCGCAGTGCATTTAATTACGAATTAAATCATGGCCCCCAAGAGATCAGCGCCAATCGGCGAATCGGGCTACTTCGGGCCTTGCAGCCTACTCCTCCAGAATGGAGCACTGCAAAAACAAAACCACGCCAAAAACTCGTAAGGAGCAGACATGAAAATCAATTAAGAAACGCTTTGCGACTGGGCAAGGTTTCAAACCAAATTCTACATACTACATATCCTTCTTCCAGCCCACCCAGGTGTTCGTTCCTCCAGGGCCTAGCTGGGGGCTATCCTCGGGCTATCCTCGGTATCAGCATTGAAGCTGAAAACGGCCACTTTTCCATGCTATCTCCTGGTTGCCTTGCCATTCTCGTCTGTCAAGTCGTAGGTATCAGCCTTGAAACTGAAAACAACCACTTGGCAATCAGCAAAGAGATGTCGCAGGTGCACCATCAGGTCGCGCGATCGCTTTGAGGCATGCGGCATACGTTCATTAACACGCCAACTTGTTGCGAACCTCTCTTGCGTTCTGGGGCTTCCGGGGCTACCTGCCTAAAAGCTGGTTTTCCTCGAGCCCTCCATCCAAATCCCTGTAACAAAACAGCAGGGACTTCTTCTCTGTACGGAGACAAGCTGGGAAGCATCGCCCGGTTCATTCGAGTTTGGTGTGAGGAGCTCCGTCATCAGGCTGTTGGAGAAGAGCAGGAGCAGAGCCGGCCCAGGTCCGATGAGGGGCTCAAGTCCGCGTGGATCTGAGCGCCAGGTTGCACGGTTTTCGGCGCCTTCGGGAGCCTTGGAGCTGTGGCTTGGAGCGACAGGGCGTCACGGGCGTGGCGATGTGTTCGGAGCCTTGACCGTCGCGCAGTTCATCTTGTTCTGGGTTCGTTTCATGAGTTTTGTTTCGAACTTGGAGGGAGAATGCATGGGCAACATGTTTTCTTAGTGGATTTGATGACTGGATTGGAGATCAAAAGGTGCTGTGAACCTCCACTGCTTTAGAATGTAGAGAAGATTGATTGGACTTCGACAATGTGTTAATCATTACCGACAAGACCCTGCGCACTGAGGTTTTTCTGCGTTTTCAAACGAAATCAAGAGTTTCACTAGTGACTCTTTTCTCTCCCCTGGCCTATAATTATATAGTTATCTTGCCTTTCCTTCCCGCCCATGCTTTCCCCGTTTTCAATCCCCGGCGCAATCCCTGAGTAGCCCGCCTGGGTCATCCCTAGCAGCCCGCCCGGAGTGGTTTCTTTTGTGAACCCGTGTTCACAAGTCAGACGAAGATTGCAGATCGTCAGTTCACAAGCTTTCACTTCGTGCATCATAAGCAAACAACCGGACCGAAACAGTTTCGCGCGCCACAGTGCACGGTAAAAGAATCCCCGGTCAAGCGCATGAACCAACTATGTTGACCACGAAATGTCTTCGCTGCTTGAAAGGCAATGTTGGTGGGATTACGTGTTATGGAGCACTCTAAGTAAGACTGTCATATACTATACATACATCATACATCAACCCTAATTTGTTGGCTTGTGTTGATGGATTGGCTTTTGCTAGCCTGGGGTTCCTTGCTTCCGCGAACTCGGGGTTCTTTGCTTTTGTGAACACGGGGCCGGAGTGGAGCTGGTTGACTCTGGTCGAACCGGTTTTAGGCTCAGGAGACCCGGATCCCACAAGGTTTGGCTCTGGTTCGGGGTGGGAATTGTCTCCTCACACCCCGGTCAGTATTAGCCGGTAGCCTTAGGCCGCGAAGCCGGGTTGCATGGTTTTCGCGGTTCGTCTTTTGCTGGCCTTTTACGTGCTCCTGATCTTCATCCTTCAACTCCAGACTGGCCACTACAAGGTTCAAAGAACCAGTTTGGCACCGGAACTTAAGGAGGAGAAGAAAAGCTACAAGACTAACCTTGAGAACTTGGAAACAAGGCAACAAGGTGACAAGACATCGCCTCCGTGGTGCAATAGCGCGCATTGCTACGCATCACGGCAGTTCATTGCCAGGCCAGATATCCACAATGCCTCTCAGGTGGATTTGTGAGTGTGGTCAGAAGAATGCCCCCAAAGCTCTCTATTGTCTCTACTGCGGAGAGCACTATAAAGCAGTAGACTGGAAGCGAGATCGGTCGAAATCTCAGAAGCGGAAAGAGCAAGACCCATTTACGCCTCCTCCCAGGAAGGAAGCCAAGAGCAAGGGGAGATCACAGACCACGCCAGCATTACCACCCTCGCCGAGACTACCACCACCGCCTGCTCCTCCAGGTGGGGTAGGAAGCACTCCCGCTACAGTGGATATTCAGCAACACCTGGCGGCTATCAGAAGCTATTATGGAACTTCGAATCTAGCAAAGGAGATCCAGTCCCTGGAGCAGAGAGGAGACTCAAGTCCTGGCCTGACACATGGGCACCTTTCCAAACTTGGAAAGGCGCAGAAACAGGTCGAGCTCTGCAAACAGGAAGTTCACAAAGCCGACAAGGAATGGAATGCCTTTGTCTTGAAAGCGAAGAACAGCATGCAAGAGCGATGGGCAGCATACCAACAGGACAGAATGAAGGCCAAAGCCGCGCTTGTCGAGGCAACAGAGAATCTGAGTTTGCTGAGGACACAAGTGAAACATATGGTTTCTGCATTGAGGACGGACCTCAGTGTAGAAGAAGAGGGGGAACCAATCCCCACAATCGAAGAGATGCAGATGATGCTTGGCAAGATCGAGGAAACAGAGTTCATCGAGGATGACGAAATGCAGGAAGATCCAGAGGAAGAGCTGATAGTGGCTGCAGCCGCAGCATGGCCAGCAGTTGCTCTGAGAGCATTTCGGAAGGCGATTCCTCGGCAGGGCAAAGCTGCGCACTCTGCATCACCTTCAAAGGGAGTCAAACAGGCTCATCTAAAGCAAGCTGCAGAGAAAAAGGAACGAGAAAAAGAGAAACCCGAAGGAGATTCAACAGAGATCAAGTGATCTTCAGCTACGACGGATGGGGATGCTGTCGTTTTGCTGAATTTTGCCAGAATGGTCCATTAGCGCCAAATTTGAAGGCGTGCTATGGGACGAATAGATATAATTGTTGGTGCGGAGATTCTCTCAGCCGTCCTTTTCTTAGAATGCAGATCAAAGCACACATTATAGGAATGACAACACTTGACGCCTGCCTCGTAGTAGGTGTTGAGGGACATCCTATAGCCCTTCGATGCATTGATTTTTTCCAATGCCCAGCCGGACTTGTGTTTCCAATGGCGGATCTTTTGGATATGCAGTCTGAAGTAAACGATTCAAGACTTGGACAGTGCCACGACGATGATTTCGCGGATGAAGTTGTCGCACAAGCAGTACTGTTCTGTAGCCTTGAATTGATCGTTTTACTCGGGTCTGGTTTTCATGCACGTTGGAAATTCTTGTGTCGCGGTCAAATTGATAGGCTATCACATGGTAGAAAGCCGATCAGACCTAGATCGAATGTTTTGCATAGAGTGAGTAGAAGACAGGTCAAGGCCATAGTCTTGATCTTCCTTTGCCTGGACTTTGCTGGAGTCAATGCCAAGATCCATGCCGAGACTAGGGCCATGTCTTCATTCATACAACCGACAAGACAAGACAGCAGCACAGCCAATTTTGAGACTGATAATGATGAAGTTACATTCATGGAACGTCCTGATGCTGGTGACCCAGTCTCATTACTGCCAGAGAGCCGGATAGTAGATCACGGATTTCGAGCAGATCTTGCTGCTGTACACGGAGCAATTGTTGTAGGGCGTGAAGCCGAGGCTGGTGATCTTTTGAAAGCATTTTTGACTGAGTCTGCAGTCCGACTGCCGGAGGTTGATCCTTTGCCGTCGGATACATACGTCGCGTCAAATAGGCAGACAATCAATAAGACACCAAGGCGAATTCGGTTCTATCAAGTTCTTGATTGGCAGAATGCGCTTTTGGCTGCTTGGTTGCCAAGTGGAGAACGCAGTTTCATCACTGTGTTCATAGCCCACATGCCGCGTCTGAGTGATCAGGAATGCCCTGAATTGCTCATCATTCTTAGAGAAGATGATCTGATCCATGCTAGGCCTCTCCTGGTTGACTTTCTGGCTCACGTCACAGTGAGATGTGGGGTCTGGGTTGATCGGGACGCCAGAGTTCAGGACATCTTTTCGAACACGGAGTTTGATCCATTCGCAATCAACACTGTCAACTGACTTGTTGGAATGGAGTCGATTTTGTGACGTTTGATTGGGCACCTACTGTAGGCTGAGCCGAGCTACTTCCTGTGCTGATGTAGCGCGGAAGCGAAAAGCGGCTGCACTAGGTACGGCATTGCTACAAAACAGCATGACCAGTCACCCGGAAGAGTACAGTCTCTTTCAACTCGATCAAGCGATACATAATCTCTTCCTTGAACAATTTAATGGTATTTTCGAGACACGTTTGTTCTTGAGATTCATTCGCCATGGGAGGGACTCCAATGAAAGCAGAATACTCTCTCGACAAGAAGAGTCACAGCAATCACAAGCTGCAATGCCCACGCGAATTTTCGAGCTGAAGTGCAATATTTACTTCAGCGTAGATATAGAAGTTCCTTTCCCCATGTGCATGTCCCTTCGGATGGATGCCAACCACAAACAGTTGGCCTCACGTGGGAAAATACGTGGCACCAAGAGCAGCTTGTGCCATGGGTTCGACTTCAAGTTGCAGGAATTTTTCCACAAGCAGAGATTGCTAAGCTCTGGTGGGTTGAACCTCAACCCACTCCGCACCAACAACACGGACTTGATGATTTGCACTTGCTTCTTTTCACACCGGTGGCAGGGCATTTCGCGGTTTTGGTCTGCGTTGTTTGGTCAAATGTCGATCCAAACAAACACGCCCTTCTGGCTGGATTCTTTGCAAGTCCAGTAACAAAGCAGAATGTGGTCAATTGGCTGCGCATTGAAGAAGAATGCCGAACGATGACCTGCACGTTTTCGTTAGGAGGTGTACAGGCTGATGATGAAATTCTACAGATACATGTAGATGGCCTCCGTTTAGATGTAGAATTGCGGAGAGAAGAGTCACGTAATCCCAGGAGAACTGTAGATGCCTGTCAAGAGTGTTCATCTGAGCCCCTAGATGCAGGAGAGATCTGTCAGCAGATCTTGACACCATACTGCGAGTGCTATATTCCGCAATGCCGCCTGGACAATCGTTTACTGTACAAGTTGTGTCTGGAGATGGCTTTGTCATAAGGGATACACTGGCTTGGTGCGATTGGGATTCGATCATAGATGAACGTAAGTTCAGACAGTGGCTAGAACCTCTACTTTCGCCAAGCTTACGTGGACCAATTCGGGGATTCCTAGGAAGAGTGAGGCTGGTACCTGATTCTCCACTTCTGATTGTTGCTAGGCAAGGGCAACCCCGGCAGATTCCATATCTTGTCAAATATCGTCCAGAAGGTCTTTCTACCCTCATGCAAATCGTTCTGGTGACCACAGTCAAACCGGTCACAGACTTTGCGGCGGAATTTGACAGACAGAGCTACCTTGCTTGGGCAGGAGAAGATTGTGCCTATGAGGTAGATGGAAGATGGGTTGAGCCATCATTTCAAGTTCAATGGATTCCAGCTACAGTGATCAAAATCTTTCAGTCTAGGCAGAGAATCCAGGAGCTTGATTGTGGACCACATATGGAATTGAACGCATACGATCCCTACATCCAAGCGGAGGAAGCAGCGAGGCGCCTTGTTCCAGACTCCTCCAGTCAGAATGACTCTGACACCTCCGCCGGTGAGGACAC